ATGCTAGCCAGCACCTGAACCGTCGCGTTCGCCGTGCGTACTCGAGTAGTGGAAGACAAGAACACGATGCGACGGCCCGAGGGCAACTCCAAACATCCCTGATCTATCAAGATTCTCAAGGGCATTTTACTCAAGAAATCGGTCCCCAACAGACAAGGCACGGCCAGCGAGGTGTAGACCAGGACATGCTCCGTCAATTTAATGTCGCCAAGAGACACCTCTGCCGAAATCTGCCCTATAATGCCTAACGAACCCCTGGTGACTGGGCGCAAGGTGCGACATCGTCGTGGCAAAATGTTAAAAATATATTCTGAAATAATGGTGGCGGACACCCCCGTGTCGACGAGCACCCACACATCTACCCCCTGTATCGTGCCGATAACCGCCAACGATCCCGCCGCCGCGGCAACAACACAGTGGGCCAACTGCGACCACTGAGCTGGGTGGAGCGGCCAACCACCACACGACCCACCCAACCCCACAAGCGCCGTGATCGGACGAGAGTGACTACCAACACGACGCGAACCAGCACGAGAATAAGATGGGTGTGGTGGGAATGAGGACCGAGTGTGTGGTGTGCCGCGACTCGCCTTAGGGCCCTTTGAAGATGATGGCGTCTGGGGAGGCGATGATGGAGGCCCGGAGGGTCACCGACGTGCAGCGCGGCACCCCAAGGAGACGTGGCCCGGCAGCCCGTATTTGTAGCAGACGACGGTGCTGCTGCCGGGACGAGGGAAGGACCCCCGGGGATGGCCGCGTCCCCCTCGTCGCTCCCCCTTGTGCCTCCGCCAACCTCCACCGTCGACCTCGTCCGATGGCTCAAGCACCTCCTCGGCCAGCCCCGTCCGACGCTTGAGATGCAGGTGAGTTTTAATACACCGTAGCCGGCAAGGCGATGTTCAACTCCTTCGCCAGTGCCAGCAACTGCTCCAAGACCAGGGAGTCCACCCCCGCCAGTTCCATCTTCGGGAACGCTGCCTGCGCCAGGGACAGCAAAGCGCTGTGGAAGGCGAGGGGCGTCTCGGTCTCCCTCCGCCTCCGCGCGGCAACTTGTGTCGAACATTCGATGGCGGGTCGTATACCGCGGCCATCTGCGCGAAAGCCTGCAATAACGTGGCCCTCTCCCCCGGTGGAATGGCATGAAATGGCGCTAAAGCATCGTCGTCGAGGGCGGTGGGAAGCGCCTTCAACGCCTCCGCCTCCGTCCAGCCCTCCAGCGTGCAGCTCGTGGAGAAGGGCCTTTTCAACGCCTCCCAATCCCCGCCAGTCGCCGCAAACTCCTTGACGAATGGGAGACGATGCTGTTGCGCTGGAATCTCCCGCGACGAACTTGGCGGGAAGGAGGAAATGGCGGGCTCCGCTTCCCGCGCCTCCTTCAAAATGGCCACCGTACGGGCGGGCAGCGTGGAGGGAGAATTGCGCTCGCGGACGGCAGCGACAACGAGGTCAGCGCCCCGCGGCTCCGGGGCTGCATCCTCCATCTCCAGCTCTCCCCCGTTGAGCTCGGCGACCAGCATAGCCACAGTGCTCAGCAGCTCGGCGAGGCGGGCACAGGCAGGGTGGAGATCTTTCCACGATGGCGATGATGCGGCTGTTTGAGCCGTGCCGCGCTGCTATGTCGGTGGCGAAGCCTCGCCCGCCCCTTCCGGGAAAGCTATCCCCATGGCTGTCAGAGGGATGGTCTCCTCGTCGTCTTTGTCGCCCGAAGACATTTTGGTGGGTTGTCTGCGACGTTTAAACATATCACCTCACTAATACTAAGCCTACACTTAGAGAAAATTTTACCACTTCTGGCACCAAATGTAATGGGTTCGATTGAGGCGCGGGTGGTGACCACCGTTCCTAATCTCACTAACACTCGGAGAATATAAATTTTGATTTAAAGCTTTCGTGACTGCAGTAATTCATATTCTTAGCTCTTTCGGTAAAGTCACATTGAATGGAAACAATAAAATAATAAAATATATATAAAACAATAAAAATTCTCACGACGTTTCGACCATAACACAAACGGTCGTCATCAGGTGTGTCGGTTTGCATTAATTAATGTATTTTAAAACGGTGTATGTATTTATTTATTTATTTATAAAAACGTCGGCGCCGCGCGCAGAGATTTAGCAGTTTATTTAGAAGGAGTAGTCCATCTATGTTCTGAAAAGAGGAGGGGGGAGACGAAAAATTAATGTATGCTGTCTGAAAGCCACTGTAAGCGTGAACAATCAATTAAGACCTGAAATGGTTTATCAAATCTTTCCAATGATTGCTAAGCCAGAATCCATCTTCTCGGTTGAAATTGTCTCTGTGCTTGTATATGTGGATAGCGTCATGAACGAATCTCTCATAGTAGCCAGATGGCTTACAAAGAACCTCTGTCTTGTAAAAGTCAATGTCATGTGAGCCTACTGAATTATAACAATGATCTGCCACGGCCGAGGTGTTGGTCCTACCGTGTTTAAGGTCTGCTTTGTGTTCATGAATGCGGTCCGAGACATGGCGTTTGGTTTCTCCAATGTAACTACTACCACAGAGGCAACTTAGTTTGTAGACACCAGGGTACTGTATGTCCGGAATCACACCTTTTACAGACGGAACCAGATCACGGATTTTATGTAATGTGTTGAAACGAACCTGGATCTTGTGTTTATTCAAGATTTTGGAGATCTTTTTTGTGATCCCCGCAATGTAGGGTAAAGTGATGGTTTTGAAAGGCTCCTCAAGAGGGTCCTTCTTCATGGTTTGAGTGATGGCTTTGCGGATTGTATAGTCGGAGTAACCATTAGCGTTAAGAGCTTGGTGTACGTGCTTGAGTTCACTGCCTATGTGTTCCTGGTCGGATATGCATTGGGCTCTATGGTACAGAGTCTTGATGAGAGAATTCTTTTGTGATGGATGGTGGTGGGAATCCGGTTTCAGATAAGCATCCGTATGGGTAGCTTTCCTGTAGACAGAGTGGCTCATTGAACCATCAGCTCTCTTTTTTATTAGGACATCCAAAAAAGGTAGCTTGCCATCTTTTTCGACTTCCATGGTAAATCTGATGGCTGGGTGTATGGAATTGATGTGGTCGAAGAATTGGTCTAGAGCAGGCCGGCCATGTGGCCAGATGACAAAAGTGTCATCCACATACCTCTTCCATAAGGTTGGGCGCAGAGTGGCAGTCTGGATGGCGTCAGTCTCAAATTTCTCCATGAAAATGTTAGCTATAACCGGAGATAGGGGGGAGCCCATTGGGGTGCCCTCAGTTTGTTTGTAGAAAGTTCCATTCCAAGTGAAGTATGTATTGGTTAAACAGTGTCTCACCAGGGGGGGTACCTCAGTGTTTAGTCCTTGATGAACCAAGTCTGAAATGATTGCGATGGTGTCAGGTACAGGAACCTTGGTGAATAAGGAAACTACATCAAAACTGACAAGCAGGTCGTCTGGGGACAGGGAAATACCCTTGATTGTCGATACCAGGTGAGTAGAATTTTGTACCGCAGAGGTGGTTTTTCCAGTGAAAGGACGCAGGATTTCAGACAAAAAACGAGCCAGTTTGTAGGTGGGGGAGTTGATAGAGACGATGGGACGAAGCGTGACCAGGGCAGGTGACGGGCTGCCTGGTCACGGACGAAGGTTGGAGACTTCCAAGACCGTTTATGACGTCTTCATCCCGGGTTGAACAGCCCCGCTCTCTGTTCACGCCCCGCTTATAACCGCTGCGGCGTGGATGGCTCCGCCCCAGGCCACGCCCCCCTTTTCGACCCTTTCGAGAAGGTACGGGCCCCCAACTGCATGACCCCCAAGCTCCCCCCTGGAGCTCCTAGCCCCCCTTTATCGGGTCACGTATCCTGTTGGGTTCACGCAGAGTGTCACGGGCTGACACGACCCCCGTGACACCCACCTACAGCACCCATACCGAGCCAACACAGTAGTGACGTCATATGACCCTGCGCTCGTACAGTCCCGACACAGTAGTGACGTCGTTTGTCACTACATCTAAAAAAGTGTACATATATATAGTGGGGAGCCGTAGTGTAGTGGTTAGCACACTGCGCTACGAACCCGGCGACCCGAGTTCGATTCCCGCTCACGGCCAACACCAGTGACGATTATCTGAACCGGTCTTGGGGCCTCCCATAGGTCGATTCAGCCTCAAATGAAGCGTGGTGCTGGCAACCCACCCCTTCATGTGCCGGCCTTCATAGGTGCTCGCTAACAGCACTTTCCCCACCAGTCTGTTAAGGCTACCGCGGGGATCTTTGTCTTATAGATATATTGACAATTTTCGGCACAGCTATTCTATGCTACTGTGATAGTAGTACGTTCTCCGCTGTGCCCATTCGATAGAGCCGCATGTAGTAGATGAAAGAGCCACAGTGTGACTCGGCAGGCACCAGGTGGCCGCCACCGCTCTCGGGGGAAGCCGTTACGCCAGCAGTGTTCGGGAAATGCACCTTTGCATTGTATTATTCAAAAGAGGCTGACGTGGAGGCTCATCCTAAGCCTCTGTCGTACGGCCATAGGAGGTACCTTGTTTTTTTATCATAGACATTTTCATCTATATATATGTGTATGTACAGTATGCTGAACTCCTTTTGCACCGTGCGTAGCCAACCGTGCTACACGTGCACCCGCAAAGAATAAGCACGGCAATACCCCGGTTTACGTCGGGGATGCGTTCCTGGAATGTGCGACGACGGATATCGAAATGACGTCGATAAAAGCTATTTTTATTTTTTACCCACGAGAGCTAAACGAAGACAATGGAGGGTTTCGGCGATGCTGTGTTAACGCGCGAATCTTCATCCCAGACGTACCCACAACATTACGTGAAGTGACTAAACATACTCAACACTGGTGTACAGCGGTAAACTTTAAAACTAATTATACAGGGTACTATGAGATATACTACACGACAAAAATCGCCAAACCGTACATAAATATACTGTTACCTACAGAACATTATATTTCATGATGCACAATGCAACGTGGTTCGTGTACAGGGTATTTGTCGGTGGAGGCGAAGGATGAGAGACGACGGATAATGACACAGGACGGACGATGCTGTCAGCGACGTGACTGTGGGGTTGAGACGACGCTAATCAGGTGGCAGCGGTGTTAATAAAGTGACGACGTATTTGCGAAACGACGTAAAAGGGGGGAGACGTACATCGGGGTATTAGCGTACACATTACCATTACCCAGGGCTTAATTTAGTTGAGGCCGGCTGGTAGACTGGGGTAGGCAAGCAACTCGTAGTATCCAAAGCCATAGCTAGATGTGTACAATATGTGGTGTGCTAGGTGCAGGGTTATTTTTTCAGCCGTTCATCCGGGGCAAGTTGGGTTTTGCAAACTTGGTTCTAATCTGGGTCTCTGCCAACTAAGGTGAAACCATTTTTTTTAGCTTAGTGAGTTGAATATCTAAGCCTGGTCACAAATAAATAAATAAAACACTTGGTTTGTTGCTTGAGGACATCATGTTCGATCTGCGAGGCGTCAAATGTTTTATTTGGTCTCATGCGGTCAACACTCTATACAGGCGATGAAGTCGGCCACATATAGTTGAATAAGGCACCTGCAAATCTTTTCTTATCATACATTTATACAGCACCTTAACCAAGGCGCTGTACAGTGGACTATGGTGCAAGATGGTTGGCGAGGTGAAACGAGACGAGTGGATGGGATATATGTAAAATGAGGTGGTGGTGACGATGCGTGGAATAAATGAAGATGGAAAAGAGATGAGTGGATTGATGATGGGTGACTATGGGGAGTTGGTGATAGGGAATCCACAACCAGTTTTGTGACATCATATTCCGATGGCCATCCCATGACGTGAAGTGATACACACCGGGGCGATGGTGGCTACATATGCCTGTAATTAAGCACCGTGGAGACGAGGGCTGGTGGGTCGCACAGATGCTGCGAAACTCCATCCCCATGCGCGTCCAGGAGCCATGCCCTGGCTTGCGAGTGAGAAGGCAGTACAGCAAATGTGGATTCCACCTGTTCCATCTGTATGAGATAGAGTGTTACCCCCTCTCATGCATGAGTTCTCTCCGGCTGCTCTGGTTTCCTCCCACGTGTAAACACTCACCAATTGGCCGACAACACCTTCATATAAAGGGGAAAAACCCTATTATTACATTTTGGTACTGGCAAAGGAGGTCTAATGATGTAGATGCTCACCCCGAGCCCTCATTACTTTGATAGTGCATTGTCTTTGAGCTGTGTGACGCCTTTTGGCGTCATCTGGTCGAGCACCAATTGGGTCGAGGCTCAAAAGAAAGCCATCCCTTGGTGTGGACCAATCAGTTTCAAGGACAATGCATATATTATCAAAGTATGTTTTTTGTTTGCATTTTGACTGCAGGTATTGTGGTTAATGCAGACATGAATCCTTGTAAAAAGGTTTCAGTTTTGTTGCCATAAAAAGGGGAAAAACCCTATTATTACATTTTGGTACTGGCAAAGGAGGTCTAATGATGATGGCCACGTTCTGTTTATGTGACAACCCTTACTAGTTGGCTGTGTCGGGTGATGGCGGGTTTTAACGACACATTTATATATTTACGCGTTCTCACAGTGATACGAATTTTCTTTAACCCCTCGCTTACAAGGGACAGTCTTTCCAGTTGCGAGCTGAACTCTGTAATTGTTACAGCCTGGCCAGATACAGTCGAAGATAGTGATTAGAATGGACACTTGTAAAAGAAGATCCGATTGCTCGCTCTGAAAGCGCTCCACACTGGGGGGAAAAAATGCTTTGCGTTGTTCCAGAACAAATGATGAAATGGAGGATAAATACGTGTAATTTTCCCTTGCATTAAAGAAAAATATACATTTTTAAAAGTGCAAGTGCGTAAAGTGAACATTAGGAATTACGAGTTACGGTAATTATGAATCGCATCCATCAGCCTTTAAGCTCCATTTAATACGAACATGTGAATTGTGTTCACCCGCATTAAATGATTTTCACCTTCATATGTCGATGACAGCAGAGCTTAGTGGGAGACTTGGCGTCGACTGTCCACCTGACCGCTACCTGTCCCACTTTGCGGCTCCACGCGCCACCTCCGAGTCGATCTCTCTCTTCGCGAGCGAGCGAGCGAACACTGCGCGATGCATTACAAATTTAATGTATTGTTGTCATCATCACGAATTACTTCCAGATACAAGTCTATTCATCTCGCGATACGACACGAATATCAGATTTGATAAAGCCGACCAATTTGCAACTCATAATTTTCCTTCCTTTTTTTCTCCTTGGATAGATTATTATTTCTGGCGACGGCCCGTCACTGCGTTGTGGCTATAGCCTAACGCGATGGCACAATGAATTACTGTGTATTTGCCCTCTGTGCTAACGTGGGTCTTGAACCCAGGAGCCCCGGGTTGCTGGTTTAATAGCCTTACAAGGGGCACGAGCCCCCTCAGCTGCCCAGCCAATTCCCCTGTCCCTAGCAGTCTGGTACACCGATCCCCTGACCTTGTCAATCCAATATATATGTAACATAAAAACACGACTGAGGTCATATCGGGGTTGTAGTAGGCGTCCACAACCTGCGGCTCTGCTGGAGCCACGTGCTGCTCTTTAAGCACCGCAGCTTCGTGACGTCACGAAGCTCGTATTCACCACAGTGCATTGCGGAGGGCTGATTTCTTTTTTTTTACCGAATTCGATTTTTTTTCTCTCCTTGTGGTTGCCGACCCCTGGTTAAGTGCTCGTAGGTTTCTGGCTCTTTACAATCTGGCTGCAATGACAACGTTGTCTTATTATTAACGTTACATTTTAGTTGTCGTAAACATGTTCAAGTGGGCAGTTCAGCGTTGGTTCAAGTGAGCCCGACCGCTGAGGAGACAATGAATGTGAAAACCGTGCCAGAGTTTGCTTTTGTTGAAGAGAATAAAGAACTAAATAAACACACCAAGCACGCCATGTGCTGATGGGATGCTCTGTTTTGTCATTTTTGTTGCCGACCCCTGGGCTATAGCAAGACAGCTGCTGGCCAATGATATAATGATGATTTGTGTAGGTATTTATGAATAACAAATGCAAAGGCGATTTGAAAAGGATGTTGGCCTGATATTGAACGCAAGTTGGCTGAACTTGACGAAACTGTGTTCCATGGCTGTAATCTAGTACAGCACACCGGTGTGTTGGAGAGTAAACCCACAATATTTACAATTCGAACTAGATTCGAAACTTTCGTGACTGCAGGAATTACTCTTTGGTTCTTTCGGTAAAGTCATGTAGAAATAAATAAAATAAAATAATAATCGAATACGACGTTTCGATTGCAACACAAGCAACCATCATCGGGTACAAATGAATGAGAAAAAAATAGTCGTATTATATTATTATTTAATTTAATTTATTTCTACGTGACTTTACCGAAAGAACCAAAGAGTATTTACAATTTGCTGATAATTGCAACGAACCCCATCAGGCGACAGTCAGAATTGTGGAGAATTCCTCCTGTTTGGGTCTTAAATAGAGGGATACATGTGATGTCGTTACTGTGAGCCTATCAGGTGCGACGACCAGAGGGGGGTTAATGAAGTCTTTTTTTTCTTATCACCCCTTGTGCCTTTGAAATGTTTGAATCGCTGCATGGGGTTTGATCCACCCTTAATGATTCCAGTGTCCTCTATGGGAGATCTACAGTGATTGTCATATGGATAGTTTGACTTTTGCCTTCAGAGTGCTAACGCCATTGAAATGTGGAATGTTCACCACTGGCTCGGAGCTACCAACAGAGATGGGGCCCCACCGATGCATGTCTGAAATGTGTCCGTACAGATCCATTTCTAAATTTGTATTATTTCTTTTATTTTATCATGGTTGCTGAGCACGGGCCCAAAGACTCAACACACCAAGCGGCCAGTAACAAACAGCACGAATACATTTTGATTTAAAGCTTTCGTGACTGCAGGGATTCATATTCTTGGTTCTTTCGGTAAAGTCACGTAGAAGGGAAACAATAAAATAAAAAATATAAAACAATGACATTTTATTGTTTCCCTTCTACGTGACTTTACTGAAAGAACCAAGAATATAGCACGAATACAGTTGTAATTGATGAAGCGTTCATACATGAATTTGAATTGAGCAAAGTGATTCAAACTTGGGCTAACGAGCGGGAATTCAAATGTGGAGTCGTATGAAAAGTAAACTAAACTATTATTTTATTTTAGCAGGTAAGGCCCACTGAGCTATATAGCTCTTTTTCAGAAGCGACCACAATGATAGCTGAAAGAAGTGGCAATAATGTGGGAATTAATGGTAGCCAACACTCTAAACGCGTGACGTTGATTCTAAATGGGCAGGAAAAACCCGCAGGACCCGGAGAAAAATCCACACGACCACGGGGAGAACACGCAAACTCCAAATATACAGCAGGCGTCAGGGTCGGGATCAAACCCACGACTACTGTATACCAGGCGAGGTGGTTCACATCTAGTCAAAGTATCAGGAAATCGGCAGAAAGACAATAGTTTTTGTCCTGCAGTGTGGTGGTTCAACACACTATGGATATTGTCATCGGTCCAAACCCGACATTAAGCAATATTCCACCAGCAGCCTCTACACCCACGCGCCAATAATATCTCATGATATTTTGCGAACAACTGTAACATCTGGCCCGCGAGTGATTTGCCGCACCGTTTTGAGGAATGTTCATCACGGTCGTGCTCTCGTGCCAATGCCGGCGCGAGACGTTTAAGCCTGTCGGGTTTGCGTAATGGCCTGCAACATTAGGCCACCTTTGGGACCGCACTGCGGGTGGGAATGGTCCTCCTGAGCCACGTGTACCCCTCCAAAATAAATACATACCAAATTAAATGATCACATAGCAGGTAGTTAGGACAAATTGCACATGCGTCTATGCATGTTTATGTTGAATTGGTTGCGTGTATGTTTGAATGTCTATGCGTGTGTGTGTGTATCTATCTATGTGGGGAGCGGTAGTCTAGCGGTTAGTGCGCTGCGCTATGAACCCGGCGAGCCGAGTTTGATTCCCGCTCACGGCCAACACCTATTGACGATTATCTAAACCGGTCCTGGGCCTCCCCGAGGTCGACTCAACCTCAAATGAGTACCTGGTGCAATGTGTAAACATCGCCACTGGGGAGACAAAGGCGACCGGGCGTGGTGCTGGCCACTCACCCCCTCGTGTGCCGTGCCGGCCTTCATAGGTGCTCGCTAACAGTACTTGCCCCAACAGTCTGTTGAGGCTACACGGGGAATCTTTTGTCTTTGTATGTATATCTATGGGATCCTTTTGCCAGTATCAAAGTATGAAAACTAACAATAGGTTTTACCTTTTCTGACAATAAAACAGGAGGTGTTAAGATGTTCGAATAGAAAAATGGATACCTTTTGCAAGGAATCACGTCTGCATTAATCACACACAGTACTTGTAGAAAAACAGTTTAACACGTAGGCTTTCGCGACCAATATCATCCATAATACGGATTTTTTTGGGGTTATTTATATAAATGTTGCGTCGTGAAACCCGCCACCACCCGACAACCAACTAGTAAGGTTTGTCACGTAAACAGAACGTGTCAATTCGTTACAACTGTTGAAGAGCAAAGCCACAACATTTACAATCTGAGTACGACATTTCGCCAGTAATTACAACTAACTGAAAAACGTCGTACTCATATTGTAAATATAATAATAGGTTTTACCCTTTTTTGGCAATGAAACAGTTGTGTTAAGATGTTAAAACACCAAACAGAAACCTTTTGCAAGGAATCCTGTCTGCATTAACCACATATACTCGTGGTGAACATGCAAACAAAAAACATGCTCTGGTAGTATATGCATTGCCTTTGAAACTGATTGGTCCACACCAGAGACAGCTTTCTTTAGAGCCTAGTCTCAAACAGTGTAGACCAGAGGACGCCAAAAGGCGAACAGCACAAAGACAATGCCACAATCAGGACATTGAGAGCTTGGGGTGAGCAGCTACATCATGGGACCTCCCTTACCAGTACCGACAAAATGTGAACTCGAATTTTAAATGTTGTGGCTGTGGTCTCCAACACACAGGTGTTGCTGTACTAGTGTAGAGTTGAACACGGAGGCACTTACTTAACTTGGAGGCAACACGTTTATTACACAGCCCCAACAGGGCTAATTACATAAACGTACACACACTAGACCCTAACAGAGTAACTACATCACCGGGTCAGTCAGTAACATCCTGACTGACCCACGATGCCGAGTGGAGACCGAAGATCGGAGAGACGTGGCACCGAGGGTTGATTCCAGAGAACAGCCACGAACACTCTGGGGACCGCCCCTTTATGTCCCTGGGCGTGGCCTCGCTCCGCCCTCGACCACGCCCCCTTCGAGACCTTTCCCGAAGGATCTCGACCGAGCATCGCGTGTCCCTCAAACCCCCCCCGGGCCCCTCTCCCTACCCTGTCCCGGTCACGTGGCCTCCTGGGTTCACCCAGACTACGTTGTCCTGACCTGCCCTCTCTCTGGCCGTCACCAGGACTATGCCCCCCGAGGGTCCGTTCGCATGCCTTACTCACTCTGGCCCCAGAGAGAGGTACCAGACGCACAGTATCACTCTTGTGACAGTGCCTGGCGCTAACACCATAGTGACACTCTAAACGTCACTACACTAGTAAGGATTTGGCATGTTCTGTTTACGTGACAATTGTATATTTACGCGATCTAACCCAAAAAACTGTATTACGTAGCCAACTGTGCTAATCAGACATGTGGATATACGATACACACATATACCATATTCAAATGTATATTGTACATTTAATTCATTCAATCTCTTGATTTTGCTAGCTAAGAGTCCTTCGAAATGATGGGTGTTGATTGAAAGAGAACCCTGGGACAAAGTAAGAGTAATATATAGACAATAAGGGGTGCAGAAATAACAACAGAATTGTGTGATCCATAATAGAGGTTGTTTTGGGTTAAATCGCGTAAATATAAATGTGTCGTTAAACCCGCCACCACCCAACACAGCCAATGAGTAAGGTTTGTCACGTAAAGAAAACATGCCAATTCGTTACTCGTACAGCACACGGGTGTGTTGGAGAGTAATCCCACAACATTTATCATTATATTCACATGATATTTGTATATATCATATTTATGCGATCTAACCCAAAAAACCTCTATTTTGTATATTGGTCACGAAAGCCTGCTTAAGAATGGTGTGAACCCACGTTTATTTGTCGCGAGTCAGTGGTCAATGTCTTCTTGCTTAGACGAGCATCGGGCCGTATTCGTCTTTGCTGGTGATTCTGAGCCAGTGGCAGCAATTCCACATTCCTATGACAGGGGCCCATCTCTGCAAAAGTAAACACCACTTTGGACTTCCTAAAAAGCTGTACGTACTACCAAAACCAAGTGTTGAACCCGCAACCATCCATCTAAGTGTGAATCGAGCACTCTATTCAGGGCTGACTCACTCTGTACCTATTACAGGACTGTATGAAATCATTCTTGTGCTGGTGTACATGCAAAGTGTGCATATTTTTTATCTTGTGGGAAGCCTTCGAATGCAATATCGCTCGTGCGAGGAAGATATGAGTGAAAATATGAATGAGGCAGAGCCGCGATTGATTTACATTTTTAAAGGGGCGCGGGAAACGTAACCTTTCCTGAACACGGTCCACGAGAGATGGAACTTTTATTTCTCCACTGCCTCTCGACGTTATCTCCCCCCTCTTCTCAATTCGAGTTCAATGAGGCGACTCCCGTTTCAAAGAATGATTCTTCATTGGTTCTGAAACCAATACTTAATGGCAGCCATTCGTCTTCTCATCTCTCGATAAACTGACGTCCTCATGTATTTATTTAGACCTGCGAGTAATGAACAATGGTCACTGGATGCTCGGTTGTGGTTACGTCGTGGACGATGTGTCCTATTTGCAGGCTACAGGGAACATTTTTGAGATTTTCATCCGGGCCAGAGAGTGGCTGTCGAGCTGTATGTCTGGGGCAAAGGGTAGAATGTGTTCTTAGAGACAACCAATTTCTTATTCATGATAACTACATGTGCAGATAGTGTACATCAATAATCTGGGTCAGCCCATAGCTGATTTCAGATAACCTCCATAAGCTAAGCTAATTATATTTTTTTCAGCTAAGGCCCACTGAGCTGTACAGCTCTTTCTCAGAAGTGACCTGGCCACGTGCATTTTTCTCCGGGTCCTGCGGTTATTCCCTCCACATTTAGAATCAACTTGCGTTCATATTATTTGGCTGGCTGCTGTAACTTTCCACGTGACAAACCACTTCGTTGAGCTATCATTTTTGATGACCAGGTCGCTTCTGAAAAAGAGCTACACTACAAAGCTCAGTGGGGCCTTACTTGGTGAAACAAAAATGGTTTACCGCTTAGTTTTTAGGATTCCCGTCGATAGCTACACTTGCCGCGCTCTGTGCACTACCGACACAGTGAAGGAGCCACCGCGGTGGCGTTAGTGCACAAACACACCCAAGATAAAGGTGCCATCACGGCAATGCCGCTGACGTTACCGCACCTCACCATCGCTTCCTTGCTTTCTGCTAGATTCGACAATCGTTGTACATTCATAATTGAGTTTTGGGTTAGAGCTACGTACATGATTTGGTCAAATTGGTGTCAAAAGGCCCTCGACCACCTGACATGGCCCAAATAAATTCAATTGTCACGTGGAGTTTTACAACGTGACGATAATTGATGTTTCAGCTCACTCACGGATAAGTTGAAGGGCAAGTCTCACAATCAGATTGAGCAAGTTGATAGGACGACGTTTCACTTGAAACTACACCCAGCATCTTCAGGAAATTCCGTTGAAGTCAGTATCAAAGCCAGGAAGTCAAAATAAGTGTCACCTGACCGGGCCTCTTAAATACTGTAGGCGTCATGATCACGACAGGAATATCCAAGTTAACCGTTGTACAATTGACATGTAACCTTCAGCGGTCCACCTTGCAGTATTCCACGCTCCAGCGTGAGGTTTTCAAAGCACTTCTTAAGCACAATCCTGACGCGCGGTCACATAATACCGCGAGTTTGTGTATGTGGAGAGAACATATAGGTACATGTCTGAACGTGCCTAGGAATGTCCGTCCATTTATTAGCGGTACAGTAGACGACTTCTCTATTGCCCACCTACATCACCCGACGTGCACACGACTGTGCCGTGGTCATATTTAGCCCCAGCGTAATTATCCGTAAATTGCATTACCGTTGGAAGATGACCCAAAGCACAATTATTCAAATAAATTACTATAATAAATCAACTTAAAAATTCAATATATTGGAAAGAACCATTGCTTAAATTTCAGCCGAAGCTGTCCAGGGCTGTGCTCAGGAAAGATTTGGGAACTCTGGGATGGGGCACGGGGGCACGCTCTCTTGTGAGGGGCACGCTCTCTTGTGAGGGGCACGCTCTCTTGTGAGGGGCACGCTCTCTTGTGAGGGGCACGCTCTCTTGTGAGGGGCACGCTCTCTTGTGAGGGGCACGCTCTCTTGTGAGGGGTACGCTCTCTTGTGAGGGGCACGCTCTCTTGTGAGGGGCACGCTCTCTTGTGAGGGGTACGCTCTCTTGTGAGGGGCACGCTCTCTTGTGAGGGGCACGCTCTCTTGTGAGGGGCACGCTCTCTTGTGAGGGCCACGCTCTCTTGTGAGGGGCACGCTCTCTTGTGAGGGGCACGCTCTCTTGTGAGGGGCACGCTCTCTTGTGAGGGCCACGCTCTCTTGTGAGGGGCACGCTCTCTTGTGAGGGGCACGCTCTCTTGTGAGGGGCACGCTCTCTTGTGAGGGGCGCTGGAACATTTTCCATGAGAATTTAAGCCCCTGCCTATAAACATTTAATGCCACACCATTTACAGCAACGGCAAATTCCACACTTGTGTTTTTTTCCCACAGGGAAATTGAACAATATTGGCTTTTTCAAAGATGTCGTGAATAAGCCACTCCATGTTTTACTTTGTTATGATGACAAATGTACACTTCAAGGCCATAAAAAGCCACATTTTTATAGTGCACTGCACCATAAAAAGCATCACTGCTAATTTAATATAGAATATAACATTTGTTTCTATTCAGACAATAAAGGAATGATGAAGCAATTGACTTCAAAGCTCAGTGATGCTATTTACAATTTGTCAAATGTCAAATTGTAAACGGTTAAATTACTCCCGTGTTCAAAATTAGCATTGGACGATGCTCAGCCCCATTTGTGGTCCTAAGCCACTGGTGCAGATTTCACATTCCTGTGTCGAGGACCAGTTTTTTAAAAGGATATCTGTTGTTGACCGAGTAGTGCAACTTCTCCACTTAAAGGGGGGTAAAGGTGCAGCCCTGCAACTCTTCCTCACGGCCCTGCTGGTGGAAGGGCCTTCGACATATAGGGAGCTCCAAAGAGCACCCCCCGCCCCATAGAGCAGTATGTTGGTCTACTCTTCCACACTGGCCAGACACCTTGGAAGAGGTGGGAGTACCCACACTTTATCCCACCACACACGACCTGCTGATTTATACTGGCGCCACAGCAGCGAGATGTTAACTACCTTGCCTGGTATACAGGAGGTCGTGGGTTCGATCCCGAACCTGATGCCTGTATATTTGAAGTGTTCATGTTTCTCCCCGAGGTCGCGTGGATTTTTCTCCGGGTCCTCTGGGTCTGCCCTCCACATTTAGAACCAACATGCGTTTAGATCATTTGGCTGCTATATATATTGTCACGTGATGAGCCACTTCGTTGAGCTTTAATTTGTGATAGCTTCTGAAAAAGAGCTGTATTGCTCAGTGGGCCTTTCCTGGTAAAATAATAATTAGCTTAGCTAATGGAGTTTATCTTAAATCAGCTATGGGCTGACCCAGATTATTGATGTACACTATCAGCATATGTAGTTATCATGAATAAGAAATTGGTTTCTCTAAGACATACAACTCGACACCCACTCTGGCCCGGATGAAGATCTCAAAAATGTTCCTTGTAGCCTGCAAACAGGACGCATCGTCCACAACGTAACCCACAACCGAGCATCCTGTGACCATTGTTCATTCCTAGCAGATGTAAATAAATACATGAGGATGTCAGTTTCTCGAGAGATTAGAAGATGAATGACTATCATTAAATATTGGTTTCAGAACCAATGAAGTTTCTGTTGCTGGTTGGACGGAGGCAGCGGAGGGGATTTAAGAAACTTTCCCAAATGTTTCAACCGTCGCATTCGGAGATCGAACCGACGACCTCTGAATTGTAAGTCCAGAGTGTTGATCATTATTCCGCGGCAGCATCTCCGACTTCCCTGCATAGTGCTCATTTTATCGCCCTCTGAAGGGGCGACCGACCGAGTTAGCCTTGGCTGGGATTTGAACTCATACGGAACCGCTGACAGTCCTTGTTGCACTGCCAGCTGACATGTGTAACATACCTGAGCGAAATCTCCTCCTTCGTCTTCTCCCCGGCATTTGTCATCGGGCCATTTATGTTACTTGTGCAGTGCTGTAAACAAAGAGCAAATATGGAGACACAAGGAGCCTTCAACATTGTACATGCCAGGCTAACATAACCAAAGTGTAAACACAGCTTTACAATGGCTTAAGTTCACAAAGAGGCTTCACATTGTTTGGCTGTGAATTATAAGTGGTCTACAAGGGCAGATCGAAAGACAAAGATCCCACATATAGCGTTACCAGACTGTTGGGGCAGGTGCTGGTAACGAGCACCTATGAATGTCGGCATGGCACACGTGGGGGTTTGAGAAGACGAGTGTCAGTACCACCTCCGGCCGCCTTTGTCTCCCCACTGGCGATGTTTACACATCGCACGGGGTACTCATTTGAGGCCGAGTCGACCTAAGTGAGGCCCAAGACCGGTTCAGATATTCGTCACTGGTTTTGAACGCGAGCGGGAATCGAAGTTAGGTTGCCGGGTTAGTAGCGCAGCGCACCAACCGCTACACAAACTCATCCAAGACATAGATCCCCTGTATAGCCTTAACAGACTGTTGTGGCAAGTGTTGTTAGCGAGCACTTATGAAGACCGGAACGGTATACGAGGAGGTGAGTGGCCAGCACCACGCCCGAGCACCTTTGTCTCCCCAGTGGCGATGTTTACACATCGCACCAGGTACTCATTTGTGGCTATGTCGACCGATGGGAGGCCCAAGACCGGTTAAGATAATCGCCACTGGTGTTGGCCGTGAGCGGGAATCGAACCCGGGTCGCCGGGTTCATTGCGCGCTAACAGCTACACTATCCACACAGTGACACACACACACACTAAGCTATTTGCAAGCAGACATTGCACCCATGCATTCTTATGACACAATGTAAACATTTATTGGCTAATACCATAAAATGTGTTTTATTCTTAAACCATTAAGGCATTCGCATGGGATAAACAGCGACATCATTTTAACCCAGCCACCCTCCAGGCTGCCAAAATGCAAGAAGACATTGCACACTTAACACTGCGACTGCAATCATCAAGACTCGTCATTCCAGTTTCGTCGGGGGCTGCAAACTCCGTTGTTGGGTTTTCCAATTGCAGGTGACATGGGCAGGTGGCTAATTGATTACAGCGAATCGGAATGAGGTGGCTACGCTCGATGCGCCGATGAGAGGTTGGCCAGTTGTCACACCCGAGTCCCTCGTGCGAGGGAGGGAGGGAGGCTCTATGGATTTAAGTCTCGGCTGCAAAATTCCCAGGCGTAATTATCTTACTCATTCCCTGCAACGGAGTCACGCGTTTGCACTCAGAGTTGATCTCTGGAAGCAATCGCCAATGGTTCAATGTAGCGCGGAGGCAGGCAACGCGGCTCTTTTAAGGATCGCTTCGTGACGTTGTTCGCAGTGCATTGCGTCTCGAGGAATATTGAGGGGTGTTTTTTTTTATATATATACCGATTTCGAAAAAACAAAAAAACATCTCTTCCTGTTATTTTTGGTTTGCCGACACCTAGGTTTAGTGCGAGTAGCTTTCTGGCTCTTGACATTCTGGCCGCAATTACATTAACAACGTTGGCTCATGAACGGTAATTTTGGGTTGTTATAAAACGTGTTCAAGTCGGCAGATTGGTTCAAGCGAGCCATACTGCTGAGCAGACAATGCATGTGAAGACCGGTCCAGAGTTTGCTTCTGTCGAACCAATAGCGATTATTAAATAAATAAGCACACCAGGAAGAACAACTGCGAATGGAATGTGGAAAAAGTATATTTTTATTCTTTCATTATTTTATCTGCCGGGGCAGACCTGTGCAGGAGGTGTATAGTATGCTTATGTATCGTGTTACAGGGAACTGCATTGTCTTGAGCGGTGTATTGCTACGCGGCTGGGCTTCCAATGTCCTGGGAGGCCGCGCAGATTTCCGTGGACGGCAGCAACGACCTAAACATGCAGACGTCCCGCAATTACAAGGGACAGGTGGCAACGCTGCTTGCTACAGATCTACAGCATGGTCCAGATGTCTTGTGACCCCCAATTAATTGACCCTTAAAAAAATATTTTCCCCCTTTGCATATTTCCTTCTGTCTTTCATGTAAACCTTACTTTACAAAAACATCTTATTTATTTCGCGAATTAAATGGGGTCACGAGACACGAGGACCGCCCTGTACAGTTGAGTTAAGGTCAGGAAGAATTCCGAACACAAGACACAGATTCTGCATTCGTAATGCGCTCACCCGTTTCCTGTACGGTTGTTCAAGCCGTTCAGATTAAAAATAATCAATTGCCCTTCTCCACTGCCTCTCAGTACAATCTTACCTCATCCTAAGGAAACCCCTGCCACTTTAAATGTGATGGGACTGTCCTTGTAAAAAAAAGTTAAGAGCTCTTTGCTTTCGAACGATTAAAATGTGACACTTGTGTTAATTAGCTGTGTCGGGTGGAGGAGGGTTTATGACACATTCACTAATTACACACAAAAGTGCTTGCCAAAAATGAACCACAATGCCTTGCTGATCTCGTCAAGGAGCATAAACCATCACGTGATGATTTATGCTCTTCGCAGCGGCTTTTGGCTAACCATCGAACAAAGACGGTGGTCACCGCATCGTGCCCTTTCAGATGCACTTCTGCGGCCGTCTGGAACGCTCTTCCTTCCGATATTAGGAAGCCACTGAAGCGATGCACTTTTAAATAATCTAGATTGAAACTAATTTATTTAAAGCTGCTTTTTGTGTTTAGTTTGTTGCCCTGCACCTCCGATTAGCACGGTTGGCTGCGTACGGGGCGAAATAATTTCAACATACATTACATTATTATATGACCTAAATATGAATCAAGTAAATTATGGCGTAAGACTTGATGCTAAGGTCCTCATCGCTGGGATACGTTAACGCCAGAAACATCTCAATTACCTCAGTCTGCAAACCACCAAACAAGAAATGTGAATTATGTGCGTGAGATACTTACCCAAAATATATATTTTTTTAAATTTATCATTGGTGGCTTTAACAGCCATAGCCATAGCTGGGGGTACGGACACAAGCAATGAAGGATGGAGAGCTGGGTGGAGGCAAATCAGCTGGTTTCCAGTCGGGATCAAACCCACGGCCTCCTGCGTACCAGGCGAGGGAGATAACATCTCCCCTGGACACATCCACTGCTGGACGAAGGCCTCCCCAAGACACCACCGTCTCTCGCGATCCTGGTTCACTACCCCAGACTCCAACGCGGAGTTTGATTCACGACGCCGGACTCCAACGCAGAGTCTGATTCACGACGCCGGACTCCAACGCTCGTTGGACTGCGGACGGTGGAACAGGGGGTTACAGCGCTGACCCCGTTTGCTTGTCGACTACAACGCCGCAGCTGCGAGCGGGTCATGGATCCCAGCCCGCTTTCCCAACACCGCCCCGTCGCAATTAGAATCCACCCAGCGGTAATGCCAAAGGCGGCAGGTGCCATTCCGCCGTCGCTTCAACTCTGGGGAGGCAAACTGGCAGCAAGATTAGCAGCAGATCTCGACAGAGCGGTAGCGGACGACAAAGCCAGCCGGCAACACTGTACTACGAACGCTTCACAAACACAGTGAAACATACCGCCAGAGGACACATCACCCGCCCCGGGGCTGCAGAACAACATACACAGCAGGACTCACCGACGAGCTGTGCCCGGCAAATAGAAGAAACTGCGACGTGATACCAGCCCCTTCTCAGAGGACACCATATGGCCGCTGGGGAAGCGCTCGCTGCCGGACCGGCTGACGAGCGGCCGGGAGCCACTCGGCACGGGAGCCACATGGGGGGGAGGCAGCGTGGGGGGCACTCTAAACCGAGTTCACCACCTCGAGTCGACAGCTCAAGATCCAACCTGGCAACACGGCGGTGCTCTACAGAAACGGAGAGGAGCTGCAGCTGCTGCTGCGTCGAGAGGTGGGCCATGCGACAGCTCTGCGTGTCCGTACGTTGGGCTTCTTTCGCACCGTACTTAGCCAACCGTGCGAAGCGGAGGTGCGGGAGGACAACAAACTGAACACGCAATAAAGCAGTTCCAAAGACATCGGTGGTGGCTATGCACGTGGCTGCCTGCAATGCAGCGCCGTGGAGACAGCGGCGATGGTTTTGGTGGATCACGTGGGGCATAGGCTGTGCCCGCTGGTCGAGGTTGGACCCACGCACTGTGCCAGGACCTTGCAGCGGGCGACGCTACCACCACGGGAATGCGCTCGCCGCTGGAAGGGCATTTGACTTTGGTGGACGGACACAAAAAAAGTAAGGGAGGTCGCTAGAAAACCCAAACGGCCAATTGCATGTCATTTCTGCATCTCTATTATAAAAGCCCGGCGTTCTGTGTGTCCGTTGTTTGCCCGTGAGCTAAATCATTCGAGCGTTTCAAAAGGCCCGAATCTAAAAGTTATAGAAAGTGGACGCCCCCAGATGGGGGGGGGGGTAAACATTTGATCCAATAGGGTTCCAATAATTTTCGACCCCCCCCCCCTCTCAAAAATAAATGTATTTTGTAGGCATATATGCCTACACACCCTACATACAATAGGATCAGTAGTATCCTTACACATTGCGGGGGGGGTACAAGAAGAGGACATCAGTGGGGGCAACGGGTGAGGCGCGCTGCGATGAGAAGCCCTCGAGAGGAGCTCAAATTTCAGCGGCCTGCGGCAACCGGCCGCCGAACTTCTGGTAAGACAAAAAGGCACCAGAGGTTCTGCCTTACAGAGTAAATGCTGGAGCCCTTGGAAGCCTCATTCCCGGCCCATGGCAGCTGCGCTCAGTGAATTGTGCGCATATAAGTGTACGTAGTCATGGAGGTAGAATCGCATCACCAGTTGGTGCATAAACACATGGACGTGCACGGCCCGTTTTGCCGATCCACTGCTGGATGAGGACCCCAGAACATCTTGTGTGCCACGAGGGGTATTTGTCCTTGCACCATGCCATTGTGCATGGTGGCCACCAACCTCATTACTATACGGGTTCAACACCTGCTTAGCTTCTGATGAGATGGGTGCATTCCGGGTCGTTTGTTTGAAGGCAGTTAACAAACACGTCTCTTTTCAAATGGGGATTTTGGGGGGCTATTTGGACTGCGTATATGCAGCGGGCCTGCCAAATGTGTTCAAACATGACAGCCCATTTATATATCGTTATATTGCTTTACTTTTCTGATGCCCCCACTGGTCTTGTCTTTGAATAACGTAAGTATTGAGTTTGTAAATATGCGCTGTGCCTGTATCCGTGTCCAAGCTAATACTAACACGATGGGTATATTGGCCAATGTGGCCTCATTGAAACCGGAAGGACTGCTGTGTGGTGAGAGACAGTGACATTGGATGTCCGTAGAGCAGCGATCTTCATTGCCACTGGCGGCCCCTGGTGGCCTCAAGTGCGACCCCTGACGTACGGCCCCCGACAAAACACAACACATGACACCCCCCCCCATCATCATCGTGCTGCAGTCAAACCCCAATGGTTTCAAATGTTTGGTAGCCCTCACACTGATGATGCCTTATCGATTAAAGTGCCCCCCCCCCACGAAAGAGAGTAAAGAACGCGACTGTTGAAGGCAAAATAATCGGTTGGTGTGAGAATGCATGACATTGACCGACTTTAAAGATGACAGCCAGATCCCATTATAACATCCAACTTTGCCAATGTTAAGCCATTCAGATATTTAACATTTGCTTTCCATTGTCTCAAGTGCAGTTGACGTGTGGCGTAGTAGCTGCATGTATCAGCTCAGGGGGTGCGGAAATCGGCCAGGTGCGGCCACGATATTTGGTTCGTCTCGCTCGGTCGCACCCAGAGGCTATTTAGATCTCGCGCCTCCTCTTGCCTAAATCACATCGTCGTTACTCTCACGGTCTCGAACATGTAACGCTGTAGGGGCGCTCCGTCTTCGCAAAATGCAGCCGCTGCAGCTCCGTAGTTACCTCTGTTGCAATGTTACCTCCGTTGTATCTAATGAGACAAATATCCCAGAAATGGAGTTCTGTGTGTAAGCATTTTCATAAAAAAAATGAAATTTAAACAAGTTTGTGTTCTTTTACACTGTTGTTGAAAAAAATATCTCACGGTCGTTGTCAAGGGGGGGGGCCCAACTCGTAGTTATGGCCACCAGGGGGAGTCTGGGGGGCAAGGCACCCCCTGCCCACACGCTCGTGACGCCACTGTAGTTGACGTTTACATTTTCCCTCCGTGGCCGGGGTTCTTGCTCGCACACTTGTCGGTCAAGTCCTTCTTTGTAAACACGCGCGCGCGCTCATGTTTAAGTGGTGTTGCTGCTGCTGCCGTTGGCTCCGCCGCTCGATACATTTTTTGCGCATTGTAAATAGACTTGAGCAGCGCTTCCACGTGGCAATTCGTTGACATGGAATGCCCGCTCGGTGGGAACGCCGGTACAATGGCATGCAACCACAGTGGGCGCCGCGGTGGCTAGGAGATGTTAACTACCGCGCCTGGTACACAAGAGGTCGTGGGTTCGATCGCGACCCTGACGCCTGCTGCTGTATATTTGCAATTTGCGTGTCTCTCTCCCCGTGCTCGCGTGCATTTTTATCTGGGTCCCTCTGTTTTCCCCCTGCATATTTCGAATCAACATCACGCGTTTTGGAGTATTTGGGTGCTATATATTTCTACGTGATGATGACAAGCCACTTCGTTGAAGCAATCATTTGTGATAGCCAGGTCGCTTCTGAAAACGAGCTACACCACATAGCTCAGTGGGGCCTCCTTACCTGGTAAAATAAAAACAATATATATATATAATTGTGTTTGTCTTCAACAAATTGCGAAATCGTACCTCCAATTTCATAGCCGAAGAAGGCATATACCCACGAGCACGTTCATCTGGCGCGGCTGGTAGTGAAAACTTTTGTCATTGATGGCAATTTGTTTTAAATAATCTAAACTTGAGATGCTTTTGACGGTTAGATTTGAAATATATATTTTTTAAACGCGTGTGCGTAACCCTGGGCTTGGCTGAGTTACCATAGTGAAGTCAAGTGGCAGAGGGTGGCTGGAAGGCAAACAAAACACAAGCCCCTAAATATAACGCATCTCTGAGGACCTAGCCCTACTGTAGGGGCAGTGAGAGGACGGGGAGGAGGAGGAGGGGACACGGACAAAGGGAAACTTCTCTGGAAAGCACGAATCGGCCTCCACCTCCTCCGATATTTCATTTGCTTATTGCGTTACACGTATGATACGTGTACACACACACACAGGTAGATGTTTCGAATAACGTATGACATACATACATTGGAGTTTTTGAATACAGCTAATGGTGTGCACATACTTGGCAATTTTATTTCACGCATTTACAAATGCACATGTTTATACATGCACCTTTACACGCACATAGACACACTGACACTCACCTAACACACTGACACATGTAAATCCCAGAACTGTTTACACAACACATAGACACACACACACGCGGATACATACAATCACAGAACTGTGTACACTATACATACACCGATACATACAATCACAGAACGGCGCAAGATACGCATACACACACACACGGACAGGTACAATCACAGGGCCGCGAAGACATATAACATCACGGCACTGTGTACGCAAGACACACACACACACTGACACGCATGGTCACGTGGCTGTGTCCACAATAGACACTTGACACGTACAATCACAGGGGCCGTGCACAGCAAAGGCAAAGATCACCCGTGTAGCCTTTGTCAGACTGTTGGGGGCAAGTGCTGTTAGCGAGCATCTCTGAAGGCCGGCACGGCACACGGAGGAGGTGCGTGGCCAGCAACCACGCCCGCCCGCCCGCCTTTGTCTCCCCACTGGCGATGCACACAAACCGCACCGGGTACTCGTCTGAGGCTGAGTCGACCTAGGGGAGGGCCCGGGACCGTTTCGTCGCGCAGCGCGCGCTAACCGCTACACTACCGCTCCCCACTGCCGTGAGCGAGCGCGCACCCACGCACACACACGCACACACCCACGCACACTCACACCCACGCACACACTCGCGCACCCACACACACACGCACCCACGCACGCACCCACGCACCCACGCACACGCACACTCACACCCACGCACACTCACACACCCACGAACACTCACACCCACTCCCACACACTCGCACGACACCCCCCCCCCCCCCGACAGGCACACAGCGGCATGCGTGTTGGGGGTGCGGGAGGGGGGAGAGGTGTCGCCCTGCCCCGGTATTGCGATGCCCGAGTTATTCTTGTGCCCCGGGGCTTCCTCCGTCCGCCTCTTTCTTCCACAGCCGCCAACTCCGGGAGAACTGAGAGCGCGCGAGTGAGAGACGATCGGACGCGCGACTTCACAAACACGCGCGCCGCTCCCCCCTCCCCACCCCCTCTCTCTCTCTTGCACGATTGGCACGGTTGGCTACGTACGGCGCGAAAGAAGTTCAACACACGTACGAACACTGTTGTAGGGACACATCCCCCAGGAACCAGACACAGAGAGGTCGTGCGCGTCGCACTCGAGTGAACGTGATTAGACGGCGCATCATCATCCACTGCCTCCTACTAGCAGCAGCAGGGCAAACAGGTAAATGACCCCAGGTAAATCGTAACCCTTACACGCTTGCGAAGCTAAATGCACGTTCACATTGCACGTGCACCGGCATTGTTGTTTGAACAGCTTTGGCCAGCGTAGCTGTAACTATTGCGTCGTGATGGTACAATGACAATCGCTGCAAGTGACGCCTCTTGTTGTTGTTGTTGCTGTTATTGTTTCCCCACCTCCGATTAGCACGGTTTGGCTACGTACGGTGCGAAAGAAGTTCAACATACGTACGTGAGGAGGAGGGGCTATGGTTGGTGGCGAGTGAAGTGTTACTGTAAAAGCACAATGCCGGGCTGGAGGACAAAGCTGGGATCCTGCCTTCAGTTTCACCTGTTGGAGGGTGAGTGGGTGAGCGAGCGCGCAAGCTGTAGACTCGCTGTGTGCGCGCGTGTGTTGGTTTGTCTCAGTCTGTGTGTGTTCATTCATTCACGGGCAGGCAGGCAGGGTGGCGGTACAGTGGTGATAACACTCGTGGCTCACAGCAATAGTAGGGAAGGGGCCCTGGGTTCGAATTCCGACTCGGGCACCTTTCTGCGTTGGAGTTTTTCATGGTCTCTCGCCACCCCCCCCCCCCCCCCCCTGTTCTGCGTGGGTTTCCTCCGGATTCTCCGGTTTTATCACACAGCTAAAAGCACATCTAAAAAATATCCCAATGCTGAAATACATCCTGCAAATGTCTAAATTGGGCTTACCCACAGCAGCAACGTCGCCCACCCTACTGCAACAAACCCCCTCATAAAGGAGTCTCGGGACTCGGTCAAGGCTTTTCTGAGTAAACTGGCATCATACATAAAATAGCTGTCCCGTGTTTTTTTACTGAATGTTTTGCTATGTGCGTGGTTGTCTCCCTTAAGAAGGCAAACAAAGTGAATGGGCTCCTATCTGCTTTTATAGATTTGTATTGCCTTATTTTTTGTTTAAACATACTTATTGAGCATAGGCACAAACATTTCTTTGGATGTGTTTTATCCAAATGTTCAATTTGAATGGAATTCATGTGAACTGGCTGGATGCAATACATCTCTCTATTATACTGCCAGGGTCCTCAAATATGGGAGGAGAGAGGGGAGGGTCCTGTAAATTTTCTGGATTTTTGAGTGTAAAAAAACAATTCCAGCCTTTATCAATCCACTAATGGATGAAGGCCTTCCCAATGCCATGTCGGCCATAGGATTGTATTTTTCATCATACTTCAACCACGCTGGTCAGTGCAGTTTGGCGAAGGGGGCGGAGTGAGTGTCGGGACAGAATCAGTGCAGACAGCACTTGCAACTGATGTTAGCTGTGGTCGGTTATTGAACTCGGGTCACCCCATTCACAATACAACTGCACCCTCTTGATCAGGTCGCACTCATTACACACAAAGTGCCTGCCACAAATGAACCACAATGCCTTGCGAATCTCGTCAAGGAGCATGAACCATCACGTGAACTCCGGTCATCCTAGCAGCAGTGGATTTTGGCAAGACATCGGATGTGCGTCTGCGGCCGTCTGGAATGCTCTGCCTTTCGATATTAGGAAGCCACTGGAACTATTCATTAGAACTGCTTTTTGTGTTTAGTTTGCTGTCCGTCCCCCACACCTCTGATTAGCGCTGTTGGCTACTTACGGTGCGAAAGAAGTTAAAACATACGTAGTATAATTGAAGATTTTATTTTCCCGTGAAAGGAAACCGGATAACCTGGAGGTATCCCGCATACTCGAGGAGATTCTCAAATATTTGTAGAGAAACTTCAATCGTAAGTAAAACTCAGTGTTTATATGGCGCCGTTCACACAAGGCCCCACGGCGCATTTGCTGCCACCCGTAGCCCGGCAGGTTGTTTCACGCACCATGGACCTTGCCTCCAAAGCTCTAGATTACAACAAGCGTTGACACAACCCATAGGCACCCACGGCCTTCTTGGGCGTGCATGATTAGCAGCAGCGTTGATTCAAACACAAGAAAACTGAGCACTCGTTTCGACGTACGGTGTCTCCTCAGGTTTGCTTGAATTAAAGCTGGCGAACTGCCAGACGTTATGGACAAGACTCCAATCTTTACGATTAGAATGCAAATCTGGGTACTTTATCTCGGCAACCCTCGACCAAACGTGGCTCATTTAAATTGCAACTGTCTTTAAAATGAACGGAGTGCATTCGCCTTTTAATGTCGCCCATTCCAACCCGGCTCATTTACACATGGTTGATGCTAATACAGGATCGGATTCCGGTCAGCCGTACGTGATACGATCGAAATTTGATTCATTTTAACGTGATTCGTTCAAAAGCCATTCATACGAAAAGCCATTAATTAGGTGTTTAATGACTCACCGTTTGAAATACAATGTATACGCGTGATATAGTTGTACGTGCATCAAATATGCATCAAATAATACATTATTTAGGATTTGTGCTAATTTCAGGCACATTATCCACCATGGGGTGGAGTGGTGCACTCTGGACGCCGGTAACTCGAGTTCATTGCCTGGCCCCGGACATCCTCACTGGACTTGTCTGTGCTTCCTACGGTGCCGGCATTGTGACAAATGGTATAACAACCACGTGACCAATATGGCATGAGGAGACCTACATCCAACAGGGGATCTGACACAGGGTTTAAAATGTATTTGCCTAAATTATTATGAATATTTCTAGCATTGCCTAAGCAATGTAGTAGATGAAGCAAGAAGTCTTGTCGGCAATTTCCTTTTCTTCAAACGGCAATGCAGTGCCTTGAATTTCTATGCGCATGAAATGAGAATTCAATGGACACTGTCTGTTTTATGCTATGTTATAATATAACACAACGCTTGAGTTGCTTGGCGCCTAAATGCGACCACCGCATCTCAAAGATACTAATTTAACAGCACATGTCTCTTTTCGCGAACCAATATTACAATTCATAAGCGGTTTATTTTGCGTTGGATGTATAAAATACAGGGTGCTTCAAAAAAATGTTAACACTTCGGAGGATTTGCAACAATACCATTAGAAATGTGCTGCCTCCGGGCTCTGGAGACCAGCTGGAGAAGATTCCAGGCCACGTGTTGACAACGATGGCGAACAAGCGGAGACTCTTTGACTTTTTGAAGCTATTAACATTACATTTGTTATCATGTTACAGTTTATTATCCGTTCTTTTTCTATTGAAAACGATAGTCCCATATAAGTGTTTAAACAATTTTGAAGCACCCTTTATATTTGTTTATTACCGACAATTCTCCACCAAGCGACGGAGCCAATGAAATCAAGTTGTCACGTGGGCAAATATGGCCAGGCGATTTTTTTTTTTTAGCAAAGCGGAGTTTTGAAAAGTGAGCAAACATTCGGAGAATTGATATCAAAATACTAGCCTACATTAAAAATTGATTTGATGGGCTCTGTCAGGTGGTTTAGAATTATAGTTGACAAAAAGAAATCGACATTAAACATACACAATCTAACCTTAAAACAAACCAATGATGAATCATCTCAAGCTGCTGCTGTTTGTTGCAAGCAAGGACTTCCTTTGTCTCACACAATGCACTCCAGGCCCTTGAACACGCGTTGCACTGGAATTGAGATGTTGTGCTTTAGCGTTGTTACTTTGCTACCATAAGTGGATCTTTTCCTTTGTCCTCGAGGCGGCTTAACAGCGGAGATATCGCCTGGCGTGCGGTGCATGCAAACCGACCAGGGATGGCATTATCACACCTAATTAAGCTCACAGTACACGTGCGGACATTACCCTATGCAACATATCGTCGGTTATATCAATTTATACGTTCACGTCAAATGCTTAGCTGGACTTACGCGTATCTGCGCGTCTTCCCTCGTCATCGTCACATTTACCATCGCTCCGCACGGCCTACACATTCATTCGGGCCGGCCAGCCCTTTAGTCGTTCATTTATTCGCACGTTTCCCGTCGGAAGGCGCCAACGCAAGTTTATGGACGGTCACGGTCGTTGTCGCTGGGCATCAATCACTGGTCGGCCGCCGCGGCACGGCTGAATGTGTAACACGCAGGAATAGGGGGTAAGTGGGGGGGGGGCCCTGCTTAATGGAGTATTTCTTGTAATGTACGAGGGGTTGCAATAGATCTCTGACGTGGGATCGGCCACAGAGTGCCGGATAGCGGCTTCTTTGAAGTGGGGAAACTGGGACGGGTGGGGGAGAGGACCTTGGGAGGGAAATGGGAGGCGGGGCTGTGGAAAGATGTAGGAGCCTTGGAGGTGAGTGGCTATCAGAGCTTCGCAAGACGAATGAGCGTTCTATATACAGTGGCCCCGGCCGCTTACACATGCCTCTTGTGCTGTACAGCAAATTGCAGAGGAACAATGATGTCTTTGTTGCGACGTATCGCGGGTCCACTGCGCTAAACTGTGGACAGATGTCCCCGAAATGCGATCGCCGACTCCGTTAAGAGGGACGCAGTCCGCGACAGCGTTTGTTGTTGTGGGATCGTACCGAGAGATGGGAGAGAGGAGCCCACGGATTGGAGAACGTAATACACGCAGGTTAAAGACGTCAGTCCTTCGGCTGTTTTAGAATGGTCAGTGGGAACTAGGGAAAGAGACGTCTCTAGAAGGGGACGATGTTCTTGACTGCAGGAATGTAGACTTTGCTTCAGGGCTGCGAACAAAGATCAGCACTGCCAAACACTTTGTTCGAGCAGGGAGACCCTTTGACTCTTTGAAAGCAATACATGTAAATTAATGGGCATTGCTGCGCATTAATTCGATTGCACGTTGTACGCTGTGCATGCACGACTTTGCTTTCACAATGATGCACCGTATCACATGACCGCCTGACCTTTTGTAACTGAAATGCTAAATAAAAGCAATAACAAAAGGGGTCACGTGACCGGTGTAGGAATGTGATGATCAATATCAAGCATTTAGTGTGAATGTGCTTTCCAAATCCCACCTTTTATTTTGCTTTCAATTGAAGTTCAAGTGTGAGCGGGGTCTGTCTGGTGTGGCTGGGAAAACTCATGACACGAAATAATGCTTCAACTATAATTGTCTTCCGATATTCACAAATTTGACACTTTTCACACAGTGATGTGCTCTTAAATCGCACGCACATTCGCTCACTTACGTATAGACCACAGTGGAAGCGTTTACCTTTGTCCAGTCACGACCCATTCGTGGCACCGTGGTGCAACTCGTTTTGGGCGCCACGGTGGTGAAATGTTAACTACCTCGCCTGGTATACAGGAGGTCGTGGGTTCGATCCTGACGCCTGCTGCTGCTGTATATTTGGAGTTTGCATGTTCTCACCGTGGTCGCGTAGATTATTTTCCGGTTCCTCCGGTGTTTCCCTCCACATTTAGAATCAACGTCACGCGTTTAGAGAATTTGGCTGCTATAAAATTC